CAGTAAACATTATATTTTTTGGGGAAAATTCTAAGTTCAAGTGGAGATTAATCTGAAAATATTGGTACTTAAATTATAAACCTTGTCACATAAAATGTGGTTGATGATAAGGAACATATATTTAAAGTTTTAAGTTGATACCTTAAAAAATGAAAAAGTTATGGTAAAATATTTTACTGCACCAATCTTAGATCCCAAGGCCGGGGAGAGTATTCTTCTTATATTTCGTATAGTCGTGCTTTTAAGAACAAACAAGGACTGCAGTCGAACGACATATTCCTAGCCGTTGTCATTTGTAGAAAATGCAGACTGAGACTGGGCTTCGATTATAGTAGCTATCCCATAGAGTTTGAAACAATTCCGTCCTATAGTAGTGAAAAGATCCGGTCGAACCGTTGCACGGTCGCACGGACACACGCACGGACAAGTGACATTTCCATATTTCTCATCTGAGGTAATTATATTGAGAGTGCTTCTTTGAAAGAGTCCAGTAAGGGCTTTATAGTTTTGGTTCGGGGGTCATCATATTATGACCGGGGGTCATTATTTTTTATAAAATATTGATCGGGGGTCATTATTTTATGGGGGTCAGTTTACAACGTTACACCGGCGTGTTTTGTGTAGACGCCTGACCTTGTATTGCTGGCTTTTATTGATTGTTTTAAATATTAAATGAAATATTACTTTTTCAACTTAAAATGAATCATTTTTGTTTTACGAAGTACCTTAACTTTCCAAAACTGAAACCAGATTTCTACAACCTCCACTAGGGCGTTTTTATATTTTTTTTTTTTTCATTTTCGGAAAACAGCTAATTGGTTAGTCATAATTAGGACAGATCAACCGATTTATATTTCAGTCATTTCGAGCGCATCAATGGCAGTTATGTTTAACACATGTTTTTTTTTAAAGGAGTATGCTTCATTTAATTGATTTCATCTTTGTATAATCTTAGATTATGATAAAGAAATATCTTAAGAGTGAACACATTGACATGATTGGTTTCATGAGCTGGCGTCCTTGAATTTATATTGCTTGCTATTGCACTTTGGGCAGATAACTTACACATCAATTGTACAACATTACTTTTCTATTGGTTTATGTTTTCCATTTTATCCTTTGTCATGATACAAAAACATATTCATTAAATTCCATCAATATTTGCATATCGTTTTTTTTCTCAGATTAAGACTTTTTTTTAAATTTTGAAAGAAAATAAATAAATTGTAACCTAAAAAATAAACTTCTATTTACCAATTCTTTAATTTGTACAATCATTGCAATCACTCACACTGACGTCATCTACGTGAAAAGTATCAAAAAATGTCATTGGTTAATATACCTGAAATACCAAACTGTTTCTAATTGAAAAGAGGATAACTTGAAAAAGAGCTCGGTGGCCCGAAAAGAATTTTTACTTGAAAAGCCCCTGTTATCATACTCTAGAAACATGAAGTTTAGCAGCTTTCATCATGTCTATAATCCCAGCACGATAAACAGAACTTTCGTCATGTTTATAAATAGTATGGAACAGTCTATTTTGAAGCTAAAAGGGTAAATGAAAGGTTGCACTCCAGATTGATTAACCAATATATTGATAATAGTTATAGATATTAGTAGTTGCCGTAATAGCTCAATCGGTAGAGCACTACAATCACAAAATGTTTTGACACAAGACTGACAAGCTCTTATAGGTTCAAATTTATATCGAGGTTTGTGTTTTTTTCTCACCATTAATATGAATAGTTATATGAATATGATTTTTTTTCGCTATTTATGATTATTTTACTTTCAAGCGAAGTATCTTCAATTTTCTAATCTTTTTTTCAAGATATGCTATATATATATACAATAAATACAACATTTCAACTTTCATCTGCCGTATCTGTTGTTTCTCCGGTTTCTGAGGCTGTGTCGGTTTCATCGTCACTGTTATCACAGCTGCTGCTATCGTCGGAAAATGAAATGACGACAGGTCTAATTCGTCTTGGATGTTTTCACTTCTCCAATACTCTGCTTCTATCTCTTTCACATGGCTACAACACTCGGCCCAATGCTCAGATGTAATGGATGCTTCAGCTTCGGTAACAAGGTCTTGTACATCTTATAACCGAAAGTTCAAGTTCTTCAACTTTTTTGAACGCTACTTGGTATATAAAGAACAAAGGATGGCACAGAGCTGGAAATCGTCAAGCATCAACACATCTGTACGGGTTTTCTTGGGCAGCTGTGGTCCTGCAAATATACAACGTCTGACAGAAGAGATGCTGACTCCGCAGGCATCTGCAGTTCTGTCGTATGGCACAGTAAGAGGAACCGTCAACTCTCCCGTATCTTTCTCCCGCCGAAAAAAATCGAAAACGTTTTTTAATAATTTGTCGAGGCTCGAAATTTTTCAACATGCTGTCTGAATAGTATTGAAGCAGAGACAATAACGAAACTTTTGTTCAATTATATACATCTTAATGTGAAATATTTTATGCACTGGATATTCGCGTTGTTTGCTTTGACTTGTATTAAGCTGTGTCATTCTTTCTTTGTGTTATTTCAGTTATATATTCATATGTGTACATTGTCAAACTGATATTTATGTGTTTTATAGTGAATCTGGAATAAAAAAGAAAAAATGTTCCACGAGGTTTCGAACCCACAAGCAATTTCATTTGCAGACGTGGCTCAACTTACTACGCTATAGAGTCAGTCGAAATTATATTGTCTTCAAATACTATCTCTATATCTTTAATGGAAATACTTTGGTTAATCACCAGTAGTTTACCTATGTTTATCTTTTCATGGACTGTGCTTCTAATTTTAGACATGACGAAAGTATGTTTATCGTGCTCGGACTATATATATATATATATATATATATATATATATATATATATATAGCATACGCATTTAAGTGTAATAGTAATAATAATAATAATAATAATCGGCCAAGGTTAACAAGATTGTAAACAAGTGACACAGATTGTTTATTTCTTGGTGGTTGGTTTTGGGTAAGCAATGTGAAATATTCAAGGTGAACAGTGACAAAGAATTTTTGTTCATTTATTACTTGCTGGTTTTGGTTTCGCAAAGTTATATTCGGTCGCGGTTGATACCGTTTACAGACAATTGACACAGTTATTTCTTCGTTATCAAAGGTTTCGGTTTGTCAATGTTTTTCACGCAACTACCATGCAGTTCAAACGTGAGACAAAATGTGTTATAATTTACGACCTCATTTGTTTATCAATCAAATTGATAATATGATTCTGTTAAATTCTGTTATATTTATTTTTCAAAATTGATTGTGTTATTCTAAGCTGAAGTTAATATTTTACACCCAAACCATTAAACTGTGCTATTATAATAATGTTACTGTTTCTTATTTATTGTAGTGCAATTATCAAAATATTTATACTTAAGGTAAGTCTATTCATGGATGCCGTTCCTAATAATGTATGTGTAGCTTCTTAAGGCGACATGTTTTTATGCGGTGGCCATAAAGTGCGGATTTGGTTTGTTTTTATTGTGGAATATTTTGAAAAGTAAGCACACCTTGTTTTTAAATTTCATCGAAATTCAATGTACACATACTGGTGGAAAAAATACTCGTATAATTCTGGCAAAACTTCTCATTACAAAAACATTTAAATGCACAAGTATGATATGTATTTTTAAATTGTTCTTAACAAGCAAAGTTTGTTTCAGTTCAAACACATGACCTAAAACTTCAAGGTTTTATGTTTAGATTTGCTTGTTTGTTTTCCTGATTTTTGCTGTAAGTAGCTAATTTTTTTATTTATAATTGAATTGTTTTTAAACTTGTAAATAATAATATTCAAGGATAGAGCTTCAGGCTAATTAGACCTTCATTCAAAAGTGACATTGATCTTAAGGTCAAAATATTAAAGTTTTCAATATTTTGCTCAAACTGGCTATAACTTTGTTATTTATGGACCGATTTTGCATATTCCTCCAGTGAAGATAATAAATTATGCACCCAGCTACCACGCAGCTCTAACGTGATCAAAATAATGAAAATACTTATAGAGACGAAACAGAAAGTAAGCAGATTTCGACAAAACAAATTGACAAAAAAGATGTTGAAATTGAATAGATGATTTTATACTTATATTCTTATAAAAAAGCGTTTTCACTTCTCGGTTTAAATTTCACTTAAACTTCACTTTCACCAAACCTTTTGGTAAATAGTTCATATAAATCATATGTTACATAATTATTAAACATTTCAATCTTATAGTGACTGTATTTTTACGTTACATGATTTTACTGTATAACGCATTTGTCTACAGTACATAGATAATAAAAGGCAGGTAACTCCTTGTTGTTTTTTGTTTCCTATTATAATGTGATCAAAGGAAACTGTATTTGCTAACTGAGAAAAGTCGAGCTATTATGATCTCTGTGTCATCGTCGTCTTGCAAAAACTTTAATGTAGCCGATTATTCAATCATTTTAAAAGGTAAAGACATAAAACTGGGAATGAACTTGCTTAACAAGACAAGGTGCAGTTGTACGACAACAGACATAATTCTCAAAGTAAATTATTGAACATTCATTTGTTTATTGTTCAATTCAATAGCACGATTTAGAAAATTGGATCGGACGATGGTGATAACGCGATGATATGATGGCATGGCATAATGGTGTAACCGCGATTGTACACTGGTCAAAATGCAATTTTACGAAAATGAAATCGCGACAGCTGCTTTCACAATGGCAATAGCACGATGGTGAAATGGCAATAGCACGATGGTGAAATGGCAATAGCACGATGGTGAAATGGCAATAGCACGATGGTGAAATCGCGGTGATAGGATGACACATCGAACCATCGGGCAGCGCGGTCTAGGGTTAAAGAGAAGGTTATGTTTGTCGAAACGGAACACAGTAGCGATGCCATTTAATGGAAAATTAATGGACATAATATTATTTTTATGACATTGCATGAATTTTAGCACGTATATTGCTTAAAATATATAGAAATATAAACTAGTGGACATTTATAACAACTCTCATAACTTAGACAATGTATGGGTCAAACTCTTTAAAAATGAAAGAAGGACAACATATTACATGCTTAATACATTTTGAGATAACCGTCTATTTTTCTAGGTTACAGGAAAAATACAGTCATCCAACAATTGTGATCCTTGTCAGATATCGAACAGGACAGCACATGCTGAATACATTTGCATTGAATGTGAGGAGAGACTCTGTATGAAATGTGTGGAGAGGCATGCACGAAGAAAGGCTACAGCACGTCATAAACCGACCTTAATATCACGTCCGAATTTCATAGACACGAGAAAGGTTTTGTATTAATTAGTTTATTTGTTATGAATACAGCTCTATTCCTTCTATATTTTGTGCTAATTTAAGGAGAAACATTTATAATGGCCTTATATATGATTCACAAAGGTAAATCATTTTAAAGGACTCCAATGAGTTTCAAAAACATAAAAACATAAAATTTAAATTTCTTACATTGATCATCAGTGGCACTTACAACAGCAAAACATGCAAAAGAAAGAATTCGAAAATATACTCAGCAGCAAATTGAAAATCGTATTTTGTGTTTTTCTAAGTCTGATTTAAATGAAAAGGGTTGCAACGCCTATTTTAAACACACGTTATTGGTCTAGACCTTTATCAATTGGAACATTAATGTCGAAAAATATTTCTAGTCCCATCGTGTCTTAAAACCTCAGTCGAGGCCCTTCAAGTATCAATTAAATATTTACATTATATAAGCAAATGTAATAATTAGAGATCTTATTCCTTGTTGTCAATATGTTTTTTTAAATGCGTGAAATAAACATTTGAACCATCAGTTTATTATACGTTTTTATAAGAATTAGATAGAATATTGATTAGACAAAGACTTTAATCGAACAGAGAAATTATATACCTTGTAGGCTGCATTTCATATTCGTTCATAAAAGTTATTTTGAAATATGTGTTATCTAAAAACGTTGTACTTCGTGCCAACTTTCATACAAATCAAGATAAAGTATAAAAATGTTTAAAATGCTAAAAAGTAACGAACTACGAAAGAAAGATGACAGTAAAGTATACCAGTATACATAACTTGATGATCCAATTCCTGTTTTCAGAAATCCTACTGTTTAAAGTCAAAACGTTTAACATTAGAGTATTTTAAGCATTTGCTAGTTTTCTATCGCATTTAGTGTTTTTTAGTGTTCTGTTTTGTATAATTCCAAACAGGTAGGGAGGCCCAGATTATCAAACGTCTTCTCAGATGAGGTAACACTTACATGGGAACCTCCAATATTAGAATTAGGAAATGACGGTTATTATCAAATCAGCTTTAAGGAGATTGATCATGATAAGAGATGGCGATATTTTCCTGGTGAATTCAAGAAATCAAGTGTTGTATTAAACGGATTAAAATCGAACACGTCTTACGTGTTTCGTGTCAGAGCTGTCTATGAAGAAGGAGAGGGAACATATAGTTCAGACAGTGCTACAGTGACTACCTGTCAGTCTCGGGCATTTCGTATAGCGAATATTATCGGCAATTCTGCAAATGTTGACCAATCACCACATATACTGCCGGTACCAATCACGAAAATAACAAGACAAGATATAAAGAATATACGAGAATTTCATATTGGTTTGTAAACATGAAATGTATTTTATAACTGTTATGATAAAGCGAGCATAAAATATAATGCATGACTTATATATCAAAGGGTAATTAAGCTTAATGTGTCATGTAACATGCTATAAGAATATTGTCTGTACTGTTGTGCACATACATCTTCTTTTTCTGATAATTCACATCTTTAAAATACCTGAAATTATAGAAAGAAAATATCCAAATCATTACAAAACATACATTTGGTTCCTATTCAAAGTTTTACTCATTTTGATTTGTCACATTTACATGTTTATATTTGTCAATTCAGGCGAATGGAATGCAAGACACATTGGTGAAAATAAAACCATAATGCTTCTTGGGGCCACGGGAAGTGGCAAAAGTACCTTAGTTGACGGTTTCATTAATTATGTTTTCGGAGTAAATTGGAATGATCCATTTAGATTTACTGTCAAGGATGCATCAAAAGTTAATGGAAATATGAACAAGGTCATGTAAACATGAATCTTTTGTAGTTCGGTGATTTTCTTATAGCATATAATATACATATGATAGTGCACTAAATGATGTATATAGTCACACTTTACCTATATAATATAACGTATAAGCCGTTAATGCATTTTCTTCGTCGGTTAATTGAGCCGAATCTTATTGGTTGGTGTTTTATGACTGCAATTAGCATTGTAATTAACTATTTTGATTAAATATAATTGTATATCTCTAATCAAGAAGTCCTATTATGTTCAGTTTGGTAACAGCAGTGTCGTCACATTTTATAGTATGGTTTAGTTCCAAACATTCCCTTTTGAAAATTTATAAAATTTTTATTGTAAACAAAATGCCATTTACCAGTATATATTCTTTATGAAACAGTTGTAATATCTTTCATTTCCTACAGGCCATTAGTCAGGAAGATTGGATAACCATCTACACGTTACATCCCGAGACAGGAAGTCGCCTTCACTACCAGCTGGAAATTATAGACACGCCAGGTTTTGGTGATACACGTGGTGTTGGGAAAGACCAAGATATGATAGAACAAATTCAAATGTTATTTTCTGAAAACATAACAAATTGTTTAACAAATATAGATGCTATATGTTTTGTTCTTAAAGCACCTGACGCCAGGTTAACTTTACATCAAAAGTATATATTTCAGTCAGTTTTGTCAATCTTTGGAAATGACGTTAAGAACAATATATGTTCTTTGATTACTTTCGCAGATGGCAAAGATCCACCGGTTATTGCTGGAATGAAAGAATCAAGGCTCCCATTTGGCTGTACTTTTTCATTCAATAACTGCTCACTTTATGTTAAAAATAAGGGGATTTATGCTTCCAGTCTGGCATCGATGTTCTGGGAAATAAGTGTAAAGGGGTTTCGTTCTTTCTTTGCCCACCTGGATTCTTCTTCTTCATGCAACCTCGACAGAACTAGAGAAGTTTTACATGTCAGATTGAAGGCCGATGCAATTGCAAAACAGTTGCAACCAAAAATCGATGATGGGCGTAGCAAAACAGGACAACTGCTGGAAGAACAAAAAGAGATAACTAAAATCAAAACAGTAGCTCAAAGTTACAAAAGTCTTGAAATGTATGAAAATGAAGTGCAACAAAGAAAGAGGGACTTGCCCAGGGGACAGAATGTAACGAATTGCTTAAATTGTAATGTATCTTGTCATGTAAACTGTAACTGTTCACCAGAGGATAAATCTAAATGTAGGGTTATGAACTACAATGGTTACTGCACAATTTGTCCAAACAAGTGTCATTGGCAACAACATGCAAATACTCCGTATATATTTGAACTTGTGCAAGTCAAGGTGAAAAAAATCCTTCACGAAAAACAACAAAAATACCTCGAACAATTGCAAATATTAATTGCAAAAGAAAAAATTGTTGAAAAACTTACAGAAGACATAAGGAAGATATTTAATGAAGCAAATGCCCTGAAAGGTGAACTACAGAAATGTACAAAAACATTGAGTGAAATAGGTTTGCAAGAAAATCCTTTCATTGTTATTAAAGATCATATAGATGTGCTTTTACAAAATGAGAAACTTGAAAGAAAAGAGGGATTTTTAAAAAGAATGTCCATTCTGAAAGAAATACAGAAACGTGCTGAATTGCTAAAATATTTTAATCGATTTCGAGAAGACGTAAACAAACTCTTTTAATTACTAAGCTAAATGTATTCAAGTCAAACGTTATGTTTGTTAAAGTGTTATACTTGTGAAATTAGATTAATAGAGTTAATATCTACAGTTATTTGTAGAATAAAAAGGATTAGTTGTAATGATTTTATGCATGATTTAGTTTTTCTTAGATATCATTAAAAAGTAAAATTGTTTAACTCTTGAAGTCCATATTAAAATGATTTACATTTGCGTAGACTACCAATTGTGTAGATGGAGAACCTATTACAGTTATATGAAATTTGTAAATGACATAAAAAAACTTAGAAACACGTTCGTATTTGATGTTTAAACATGGATCGTAGCTCATATGTGCATATATTTTATCTGAGGTAACTACTTACTATATGATGTAAACATGTGATTTTATTTAGCTCTGGCAACCATACAAAATAAAACATATAGTTTAACACAGTTTAGTTTTATTTGATTAATCATTGATGTGATAAATTAGGAAAAGCCTGTTGATATAATATTCCACGTACCAAAGCCCTGGCTTCAGATTTACTGCACATTTTAATGTCAGCTGTTCTTTTGAGATAAGATGTGTTATCACAAATAGGAATTGCGATTAAGCCGGTTAAAGGCATATTTCTACCACTGCACTTCAATATCAATATCTCTTTCGTCTGTTCATGCGATATAAATCTTTTTTAAGCGAATGACTCTAAAATGATTGTCAATTTTTATGTTAATATAGACAGGCACACACAGATTTAAAAATTGTACACCAAAATGTCATCGGGGGAAGGCATTTAATCATTAAAGATAAACGCATTTTTATAAATAATGAAGCTGGATTTTCAGTACCTTTTGTATGTGTATATGAACAAAGAAAATAAACGAGTTTCAAAAAAAAAACTTTCATCATTCCTTTGTTTGAGTTATTATACATTGGAAATTGTTTGAATCATAAATCACAAGATCAGACAAGTTGTTTATCGATTTGTCTGCAAAAACTCTTTTTTTCGCTTCAAACAACTACAACCACTTGAACTTTTGTTATTAACCGGTTTTGTACTTAATAAAAGACAGTCGAAAATCTGGTTTTTGTTATCGTTAATTGTCAAAAATTGAATAATACTTCACTTCAACTGAAGGTTCAACAACTATCAAATACGATTATAAATGGATAAAGCAATTTCAAAGTCTGACTAGAAAATAGGACAACTAAATACGTGCTAAAGATTTAAATTTGAGATAACTTTTGAAATATAGGTTAATTGTACAATGTAGTCATAAACCGGACAGCACATGCTGATATGAGTTGCTGACATGTTAGGAAAGAGGAGAGTGTGTATAAGATTTAAGACAAGGCATCCACTTAGAAAGATAACAGCACGTCAAAAACTGATATTTATTACAAATACTATTTATAGAGAAACGGGAGGTTGAATAGTATAAATTATGAGGCTATTAAAACAAAAAAAAAGGTTTCATACAATTTTATGAAAAATGCAAACTTTCCAAGCTCATAAGTAACAGAATTAAATTTTAAAACTTCATACGAATTCGACAATTTTCAAATCTTTAAAGAGGTATATTTATGTTTATAAAAGAAAAAAAATATTTCTAAAGAAAAGATTTAAGGATATGAATCTGTCAAGTTTTAGTTAAATTTAAAGATTCATTGTGATCCCGAACAGTAAATATTACTGTTTCTTAAAAAATGATTCAATTCTGGACTTGCTGCACAACTGGGACATCCTGCGCAACCTAGCACAACCTGGACATGCAGCGCTCCATCGAATTGCTAGTGTTCATGCAGTATTCAACTTGCTTCAGTAAATTGCTGAACTATCGAGTTTGCTGCACAAGTAAGACTTGCCGCGCGGTCTAGACACGCTGCAATTTTAGACTTGCTGCTGAACCTAGACTTGATGCTGTATTCGACTTGCGGCTTAATCTAGGTTTGCTGGGGTGTTAAATAGGCTGCATAACCTTTACACCCTAGACCTGCTGCGCTCCTTTGACTTGCTATGCTACCTGTACTTCTGCAATATTAGACCAGCAATACACCAACTGCTCTCATTATAGAATATTAATGGTTTGATGTTATTTTTTTAAATTCCATTTGATCACTAACAACCTCATTTCGGAATATATTTATTTATACTGTCTCTAGGATCGCATAAAAATGAACGTAAGCGTAATGTAGCTGATAAGGACATTTGCTTAAGTAGACGAAAAGCTCATTCTTCTATAAAAATGAGAAGTTTGCCTTCGATCATATATAAACTGGCAGATATCCTAAATATAAAAAATGTTAGATAAGAAAAGTATTGCTTATGTTGTAATACCTAAGACACTGAAGATGAATATCATTTAATTTCTGTATGCCGTAGTTATGCATAATTAGAAAAAATACGATAGTTTGTCATTATAATATGCAAATTGTTAAAAAAACTTCAGAAAAAATTTAATCATTCCACATTAATTTTAATTTTTAATATTTTTGATCAATGACCCCTTTCCCACCTTTTTGGGGGTATCTATTATTGGGCCCAGGAGGGTAATAGGGACGTCATGTAACAGCTTTTTTATGATAAACGTCTTTTAACTTTTACGCCAGTTGTTTTAATTGGAAAATAAACATGAAAATTTTGAAAATTTTTTGTCAATTTAAAATATTTAAATTTATGTAAAACCCTGTCAGTTTTTAAAAATTTAATTGCGAAGCAAATATTTAAATAGATTATAATTAATTCATTACTATTAAAAGCCCTTGCATTGACAAATAAAATGATGTTAAACATCATATTGCTCACTTTTTTTTGTATTTTCCTTTTCCTTTTAATCCCCCACCGTGGGTTTAAATCCCGACAGGGCTTTTGGGGTTCTTTATGTGAGGAAGCATCCCGCTAGCTTACGGGAAAGTCGCTGGTTCTATCAGTTTTAGAAAATCCGGGGGGGCACCCAAGGTCTACCAAAAATAACTGGAAAGTCGCAATTTTCCGTCTAGTTGATATGAGTAAGCCCCAAAAAAAAAAAAAAATTTATATATATCAATTTACTCATTTAATTTGGTTTTTATTAAAATAGATAAAACAAAATTTTGAAAAGAGAAACATATTATTTTCTATAAAAAACCTTATAAATTGATATTATGTTTTTATAACATGTTTATTATATTATAGATTATGTCGTGTACAATTTTAAATAAAGTTTGTCTGTTAAGAATGGACCCGGTATCCGTCCAAAGGATTTTGTACATTTTGTTTTTTAAACTAATTTTTAAGATTTAAACCGTTTGAATTAAAGATTTTTAAATAAATGTAAACTGTTTTATACTTAATAGGATTTGTTTAAAATTTTGCGCGAAAATTTGGTATTAATTATGGTTATAAAATATCTATGTTGTACCTTTTAAATTCCTTCGAAAGAAATATTCTTTGAATTCGCAAATCAACAAATCTAGATGTACTTGTGGTATACGGAGAAATAGATTATAATGTTTAAATATAACGATAAAATATTTAAGTCATCTGATAATGCTATTATCAGATAAAACATAAAACATGCTTAAACAACAACAAAAATCTTGGTGTATCAATAAAATATATGCTGCACAATATAGGAATGTCTAACGTCTGCCTTCAACGTGTTAATATAAATAATTCGCTCACGTCGAAGTTTCTAACTTCTGCAGAACATAACTTTTACATATATACTGAGAATTTTAGACATTTAAAAAGAAAGTAGGCATTTAAACATAATTATTCTAGCAGACTTTTATTTACAGACTTTTAAAAAGCGACTTGCAGTTTGAAAAAAATATTTAAAGTTTATACATAAAGATTTCCATAGGATAACAATCTGGAAATAGAAAAATGTAGGCATTACAATATTCCAAAAGAACACAGAAAGTGTCGGAATTGTTCATCAAATTTGTCAGAAATAGAATATAAATGTAATATGATGCTTGTAAAGATATGAATTAACTTCACATTTTTGCCTTTGACTATCCTATAAACTTATGTTACATTATGGATACTTGTTAAAGGGAGATAACCACAATAATAATTTAATTAGTACATACAACGGTAATAACATCTAAGAAACAATAATAATTGCTGTTCAATGACATGATATTCGATCAATAAAAGAAGCTGGTATATTGATTAAAGCGGTTTGATCATCGATATCATGCTCAGCTCCATATGCAAGTACATTAACATTAAAATATGAAAAAAAAAAAAAAACAACAACAAAAAGCAATAAAAAAAACAAGATCAACAAGGAAGGGTGATATTCAATGGACGCATTTCCCAACACAAGATCACCGACAAGGAGCACAACAGTTTGATAAAAGTTACTTGAAGGTAATGAATTAACCAATCCAAATGTGAATGTCTTTGATTTATTGTCAATTATCTCTTGTCCAGCATTTCTGTTTAATCAAGTTATATAGGTAGTATCTACCCTATTGTTGTTAATATTGTTTTTATGTTCACATATATTTTATGTCAGCTTCTTTTGTATTTTACAAGTTAACCTATTCATAATATTACGGCTTCTTGAACTTGATATTATTGTATTTATTTATTTATCTATTTATTATCATTACATTTTATTTACTTTGATAATTTCAACACAAAAAAGCTACCTACTTTAATGATGTTTATCATTTTATCTACAGCTATTTTTCCAACTTCTGTTCAAAATTTCTTCTTTTACTTCAAGATCTTTTTTTGTAAACTGCTTTCCAAGGCGTTATTTTCATTTCTTTTAAGGCAGTGAAAACTTGATTCCAAA